TTTCAGAAGGGAGAGGGCAGGGGCAAACAACAAATGTATTCAGAATCAGTGCAACATGTCTAGAGAAAAATACCAATCTTCTAGAAATAAGGAAGACATTGTAAAGCATGACAGCAAAAGGAACCATCTCTAGTCTCATCAGACCATTAAATGCTATTACCCATTCATCTGCTGAAACCAGAAAGGAACTTGACTAACACAAAGCAGACTAACCTTCTTCTTGACCTCATCATCTAAATATCTTATCTAAGAGCCACAAGATTAAATGATCCAGAAATTATTCTTAGGCAGAAGATCTAGACAACTTTTGTGGGGTCTCACCACATCAGTAAAATGCCAGTCATGGTTTGGCTAATGTCATGGTTTAAATCTGGACAGCAGACAAACAACATTCAGCTCAGTCTCTCCCAAACCCAAAGAATGGGGTAGAGAATTAGAGGGGTAAAAGGAGACTCATAGGTTGAGATAAAAACAGTTTAATAATTGAAATAGAACAAAACAATAATAGAAGGTACAAACAGGTAAAGCACAATGCAACTGCTCACCACCCGCTGACTGATACCCAGTCTGTTCCCAGCTAGCGATCCCAAAATAGCAAGATCCCGCAATTGCAATCCCGGAAGCAAGAGAGAAACCTCTCCCCTCCCTCCTCTACACCCCCCCTCTCCCCCCGCCTTCCAGGCCACCCCTCCTTTATATATATACACCAAGCATGATGTTACAAGATATGGCATATTTTATTGGCTCATTTGGGTCTGCTGCTCTGGCTGTGCTCCCTCCCAGCTTCTTGTACACCTGCATACAGGCAGGACATGGGGAGCTGGAGAGTCCTTGATCTCTTAGTAAGAATTGAAAACATCAGTATATTATCAACATTCTTCTCATACCAAATCCCATACTGACTCCAAAACACAGCACTATTCTAGCTACTAAGAAGAAAAATTAACTCTAACCCAGCTGAAATCAGGACAGCTAAGTATATAACCAACTCCCAGTCAAACTAGCAATAAAGGTTGTAACAGTCCCTGCTAGATAACTGTATGCAATAACCAGAAATTTAGATTACATGCTAGCATTATCCCAGGTAACCCAGCTGCAGAGTTGCCATGCTGGGCAAGTCGTATGTCAGCTGTTCCAAATCCGTATGCCATCTCAGTGACATAGGTTGGCCATTCTTTTAAGCCTATGTTCAAATCAAGATTAAATGTCTTTCTGGAAAGAGACAAAACACAAAGAAAGAAAATTCACTGCTTCCTTTACTCACTCACAGTAAAATAAAAAGCACTATTTTAAAAATATTAGTTGGTCTGCCTCCAGCTTCCCATTACTCTCCACTCCCCCCCAGACTGGAGAGCCTATTTCAGTAGTCACTTTTGCTTTCTGAAGAAACATATTCAATATAATTACTGCTTTATACTAATTCTTTCTTTTAAAACTCAAGACTGGGCTGCATAAGCAAAAACATAGCCTGTACATCAAAGGAAATGATTATTCCACTCTGCTTGGCACCTGTGAAGCTACATCCACTTTTGGAAACCCAAATACCAAAGAGGTATTGATAAGCAGGTCCAGTGGAGGACCACCAAGACTGTTGGGAGCTGGAGAACATTACAGATGAGGTGAGACTAGTGAGCTGAATTTCTGTAGTATGAAGAATAGATAGCTAAGTGAGGAGAACCAAGTGCTCTCTTCAACAACCTAATTGGCATTCATAGAGAAGACAAAGCCAGACTGTTTTCAGAGATGTACGGTACACTGATGAGGAAACAGATTCTGCTTGCAGCAAGAGAAATTCCAGACAGATACAGAGAACAGTTCTTTATCACAAAGGTGGTCAAACACTGAAACAGCTTGTCCAGAGTGGCTGCGGAATCTCCACCCTTCCTGATTTCAAACCTCACCTTCACAAACCCTGGAGCAACCTCTGAAATTACCCTCCTTTTGAAGAGGGCATCAGACTAGATGACCTTTAGAGGTCCTTCCAACCTATATTATCAGTTTAACTTTTAAATTATTTCACAATTTTGTGTCCTTGAGCCAGAGTGATTTTTGTGCCTTTTTCCAGGACCCTTCCTAATTTTTCAACATTGTAATAAAACCCTATGAACAACAGGACTGTAACCTGTATTGAGGCAGAATTCATATCATCAGTATAACAAATGCAGATTATTAAAGTGTATGACCTCCTTACTCTTTCTCTGTATTCAACAATTTTAGCCCCTCTTCATTAACTTTCTATTTGGGACTTGAGTTTTTTTTGTCTCTACAATGTCTACTTAATTCCAGGGTAGTGTTTCCTGTCAAGCAAGTGTGTTCTATAATGGATGGTTTCTAAATGTACAACTTCACATTTTGCTGTGCAATAGTAGATCTGAGTGGGTCCCACTAAGCAAATGATCCAGATGACTAAGGGTTGATCTTTCTATCCTCTGTAAATTAACAAAAGTAACTGCTTTACAACACCAGTCAAAGAAACTTTACTTGAAGTATGCTTCCTACCTCTCTCCCCTTAAAAGCTTTTTAATCAATTTAATGTTTTATTGATACAGGGTTTGGGGGAAGACATAGCTGTTATGTAAGAAAAAGGCATATCAAGGTCTAATTGCATTATACATATCAGGTATTTACACCAAGGAACTTTATTCTAAACCAAATTATGTTAGTGGTTTTTTTTTTGTTTTTTTTTTTGTTTTTTTTTTTTTTAAATTAAGTTTTACTTCCATTAAATCACCTCAGCATTAATTCTGATAACATTCTTTCACATTTACTGAATCTCTCAATTGTACCTCCATTATTCTTCCCCAGGATTGATGTGAGGCTAAATAGTTACTTAGGTCACTTCGCTTGACCTTTTTAAGAAGCCTTCAAGGTCTCCTGGAATTTCCATTGTATTTTAAGTTATGGTGAGGAACATCTCAGAAAATAAATACTCTCAGCCAATTCTTTTAGAACTCCCGGGTGCAGATTACAAGGACCTACTTATAACTTTTGCTGGAAACGTTTATCATGGACTCTTTAGTATCTTCCTTGTGATTTCTAGATTTTAAGTACTTAAGTCACCTGCGAGACATTGTAATGTAATCTCACTTTTATCTAAAAAAAAACCCAAAAAATCTACCGTAATCTTCTGCATTTTCTCTTTCACTATGAATGTTATCATTGTCATCTACATTGCTGCTAGAATTATTTCTCAATTTTTAACAATCTTACCTTTGTTATCCTTTGCTTTATTAGTCAAGGTTGTCCCTCAGAAACATTTTCTTTCAATCAGTTTTCTACATTTTTCACATCTCACTCAATGCCGTTTCTCCTCTGCCATCCTTGCACTTACACTTCACATAAAAGGTGGGAGGGGCCCTGAATTGCTTCCTTCACATTGCAAGGAAAGCAAGACTGATTTTAACAGAATTTGCTCTTTATGGACAACCTTTATAGCTGTTAACTGCAATTTCTAATGTAATTTATTTGGGGAAAACTACCATATACCTAATTACATACTTTCTCACATGCACACACACCCCCACACACCCCCATTTTTGTACTTTTTTTAGCCTGAACATACATATAACTAGAACTCTAAATCATAAGCAAAATATCAAATTTTTAAGTTATCAGTAAAAAAAGTTCTCCAAGGTTTCAAAATAAATGACATACATACAAAAAGACTCAGTTGGCCCAAGCTGTTGGCATGCAGCATTTTACTCTGCCATATAAACAAAGAAGTATACCTTTCTATTATCATTAAGTTCCCCCCCAACAATATCAACCAGTTACAGTTCTCTTTCCTAGCACGTTTACATCTTCTCTATTGGCTTTAATTCACAGTTCATTTCAGAATGGCTCCAATACTTTTAATCCTCATCACTGCTATTTTAAGCTCAAATAGTGTACCTGCCTGCTTTGCCCTTCTATCTTTTTAGTGTTATTCTTTTCAATTAATTTAATTTTTCTTTCAACCAGACCAGGCCCATCTACTGCCAGTTCCACATCCCTATCTTGAGCTGCTGTCTACCTTTAAGTAACAATGTCTTCCTTGGCCTTTTCATGCATCTCAAATTATCTCTTCTCTCTAGCTCAGAGACTTCCCAAGTCCAATCATTTTCTCTTACCATCTCCTCTTTCCAGTCTCCCACCCTACCACAACTTTTCTGACTTGTAAAATAGAAACAACGCAAATATATTTGTGCAGAACTAGCGCATCTGCCCCATGCAGTCATTTCATGCACTACATGCATAACCACAATACAGAATATTATGTAACTATCAATACTGTCATTTTCTTAAAATTTGCTGCTCTAAGGCAAGAGCCTTTGGGGGGGGGGGGGGGGGGGAGGGGGGAGGAAGATCAGATAAAAATCTTATTCTGATCTGTTTCCTTACTTACAAATACACCTTTTTAAAATTCACATAAATGCACTTGAGAATGTGCATTTATACTAAAAAGATACATGGACAACAGTTCAGTGTCCAATACTTTTAATAGTTTTGCCATCTCAGAAAGAAGATAATTCAAACTACAATGAGGATAATGAAGTTTCTTCATAATACCATGAAGCCAGAAAATCACCACTGGTGGATTCAACCTTATTAATTCTGCACCCTTTTCAGGGGTAAGATCACTGTATTGCTATGTCTCCATGTGCATCAACTGGTGTCACTACAGGGACAAAAATACCACAATAGCATAACAGTAGATGTTTGAACCAAACAAACCCAGTAACATTAGCAGCAAAAAAATACACACTCAAATTTCTAATATTTTAAGTCTTCAGTTTTACTTAAGTACACATTTTACAATAATTGTTAGTTAATGTTCCCCATGACAACAGCAACCCAAAAATAATTACAGAAAGAACAAATTACTTCCGGGCTTCCCAGAAAATGCCTCATTTGAATTTAATTCCTGGCATTATGCCAAAGTGGGGGATGGATACCTAAGTGGGAAAATAATTTCAAAGGCCTCTGAAACATTAATGCAGAAAATGAGTCGCTTCTCTTACCTGGCGAGAAGGTGGCACGTGCAAAATGAGCTTCCTCCTCTGAGTAAGCCACTGACACGTAGCTCATTTGCATAAGTATCACGAGCTATAAGTAGACTTCCAGGTCAGCCATCTTGATACTAAGATCTTGTTTTGTTTACACAGCAGCATGAGTACTATTTTTTAGCCAGCCTGAGCTATGCTGTTGTACCTCTCAGCTAGTAGACTACATCTGCTTGTTAAAGCCTGCTGGAACTCCCACTTCCCCACACAAGTGGCTGAACATGTCAGGAGTGCCCCTGCAGCTCACTGAGCATGCCACAGCCTCCAAGGGAACGTTGCAACTGCAAGTGCCGCCAGTCTGACTCTTTGTACTGCCTTCTGTGCTGCCAACTATTAGCACTGCAGCAACTATGTGCAGTTAAGTACCTCCCACATACCACACAGTAGTACCAACAAGCACAAATTTATTACAGCACAGTGCAAGACAGCACACTAAAAAAAAAAGAAGAAAGCTGGAATTTCCTCTGTATTTTCACTTACTAGCAAGCTAATAACACCTAGGTTCCTTTGTACATCTTTTCACACTCATCCGCGTGGATCTTTAGGTCCAGAAGCCAGCATGTGTTTGCAATCCGTGCACAAGAGAAGTCCATGACACATGTTAGCTGCTGCCAACACAGAGCCAGACTGCAGTTACAGCTAGCTGGCCCAGTAAAAATTTACATAAAGGGGGCCTCATTTCAAGACTAAATTGCAGCAGGATATTGCTGAGCAAATCCTCCCCCAGCCCACTGTGATACAATGGGTTCTAGAATATACCCTACAGCTATTTGCTTACTAATAATCCAGATCCATGTCAAAAGTCAAATGCTGCTCTTACTGCGTGTATAAACAAAAATTGACAATAGTCTCTGCAAAAGAAATTCCACCTTGAAGCCTGTTCCTAGTGGAATGCTACATGATGCACTGTTCACAGCAATTCTAGTAAGCTCTCTGTAGTAACTGAAGTAACACTGAAAAAATGGGTATGTTCAGTGCTAAGCAACTAGCTTTTCTTAAACTGGTATTTCCAGTAGTTTGCAGCATACTAATAAGTATCAGCCCCAAGTGGGTCAGATGCATTTTTAACCTAATGCCGACAGGTAACATGTCTGGCCATTTTATTTTCTGTTTCCACTTCACATTTTTATTTTTTTTTCATTAGGCAGATGAAGGGAAAAAAAAAAAAACAAAAACATCCTGAGCTGCAGACTATCTTTTCAAGTACCTAAATGGTACAGTGACAGGTAGAGGCAGAAGCTTGGATTTCAGCCTCTGACTTCAAATAGTTAATTTCTTAATTCTTTTTACCTCCAGTCAAAGTCCAATTACATGAATAAATTAATTGCGTTTTACAAATGTTTATTCTAGAAGTCACTGTATGTTTTGGGAGGGAAAAAAAAGAAGCCAGGCTTTGCTTACTATTAAGTGTACTTATGTAAAGGATGAATCATCCGCTAATACCTTTCTCCTCTCATTTTCTGCCTTATAAGAAACTCTTAGAGGATGAAACAACTCCATGCTAATAAATATGCTGTTTATTATAACAACTAGAAACATGAATTTGCGAAACCCTAAATAAAACCAGGTTATACTCACAGTAGTGTTTGGCTAGCTACACATTTAGCAACACTGCTATAGCTGCAGCCCCACACCATTTAGTGGAAAAGGAAAGATGGAGACAGTGATGCTTGTTGATCCCGGCAGGGCAAAGGCAGAGTGCCTCAGATCACAAGAGCCTGCTTTTCACCACGGAGCTCTTCTAGTTCCCTGCATTGTTCCTCTTTAGAATGCCAACAGTGTCAAGGCTATATATAGTCAAATTACTTTTTATGTCCCCCTTTTCCACTGCAAGTGTAATTTGCTGTATGGTTGGTTCTAGGTTATTTGAGCATAACACAGTTTGCTCATCTGCAATGTCAAAAAGATACCTATTTTGTATCTGAAAGTATTCAGTAATGCAAATTACTTTTCCCTGGTTGTTACAATTCATCCTCAGCTGTTGCATTCAAAAGCCTGAAGTGATGTGTATGGGAAAAATAATTATTTTTCCAGAATGACTGTCACGTTAAAATGACAGACATTAACTATACAAGTGATCTGGTACTGCTATTCTTTTACGTCACGTGTACCTTTTGATTTATCTTACTTTCAGACAGATTTGTGTATGTTAGCACATTTAAACACTGTGCAGAATACATCTTTCAGTGATGCTGTTGTCATTTGCAGAATGACTCATCAGATGAGCAGCCTCTGATCTTAAAAATAAAGGGCACCAATGCTGCTTTAAAAAAAGCAAACAAAAAACCCCCCTTGTTTCCTACACAGAGCTGCCGCCGCCGCCGCCCCCCCTCCCCAGCTTTGTGCATAAATACCAGAATAATAGTATGATTTTCAGCACACTAAAAGAGATACTGCAAAATAAAAGCCTTTACTTGGAGCATTTTCTATTCTCGGCTCCAGTCTGCTCAGGCAAATCCAGGCCAGAGCTTGCTCGCAGCCCTGATGGGGAGCTCCCCATCTTCTGTCTGGGGGAGGCACCACCCCGCTTCCAGAAGGTTCAGGCAGAGTCACCCACACCCCCTCGGCCACCTCAGCTGCGCCGTCCTCTCTTCGCCTTCTTGCCTCTCCCACCACTAGCTATGATAAAGCCCGTTTTCGAACGCAGAGTGTTTTTACAGGGAGGAGGAGCAAACGCACTGCACAGGGGGCTGCCTCTGCGCTAGACTGGCGGGTTTGCTGAGCCCCGAACCGACTGCAGCAGCGCCTGCCTGCCATGGACGGGGAGAGCCCCCGGACCCCGAGCACACGCACCACCGCAGCTGCTTCTGAAACGGGACACTGGGGGTGGGGGGTGCGTTTCCCCCCCCCCCCCGCCTTTTTTGGGGGGTGGGGGTAGTGGTTTTTTTTTTTGGTTGGTTTTTTTGGTTTTTTTTTTTTTTGTTTTTTTTGTTTTTTTTTGTTTTTTTTTTTGTTTTTTTGGGGAGCGGGAGCAGGGGGAGGAGGCAGCAGGTGTTGCCAATAATTCGGTTCGTGTTTTTTTTTTTGTTTTGTTTTTTTGTTTTTTTTTTTGTTTTTTTTTTTTTTTGTTTGTTTGTTTGTTTGTTTTTTAAATGTGAGACTCTAACCTGGAAGAATAAACAATAGCATACTTAATTATATTCTCCAGTGATTACTACTACAGAAAAAGCCAAAATGTCTGCCTGCCTTTCCTGCACGCAATCAGCAAGAACACCCAAAAGCTCTTAGGACTTTGCCTTGCCAAAGCCAGTGAAGAGGACTCTTCCTCCAACATGCATACAATTTTCTAGTCTGTCATCAGAAGCGACCTTAAAGAGCAGATGTTACAGTCAAAAGTAGTAAGGCCAGTTGCATTCGAAATAATGACTTAGCTCTATGGTTTCAATTGGTACATATCAGACAACATCCTCAAATTTTAAATGTCAGTTGATTCATCTCAGAATAGAAAGGTACAGAAAAGTCTGCCATAGAATAATATGCCTAATTTAGACACAATTTTAGATAAGAAAGCATTTCATTGACGAAGTTGGAAATAAAAATTAAAAAAACAACCTAAGACAAAATCTGTTAGTAGTAGCTTGAGAAAAAAAGCACCACCCATCACAGTGCAAAATAAAATGAAAGGCCCTCTTCTGTAAGCAATACACACTGTTGAAAGCACCCCCTTTCCCTCTGACTTCTCCTCCAGAGCATGAAACAGAACAAATTATTCAGCCAGTGTTTGAGTAGTTCTCAAGTTTTTCTCATATTGGTCTTTAAAATGCACAGAAAATACTAGTTTCTGAAGCAGAGAACTGCCTATCAACCCATTATCCTAGCCAGTGAGGTTTATTTCAAGATGTTTTACAGCAGATGCCTTATCAACAGAAGGAGCAGGGAAGGCAGGAAAGGGAAAGGGGGGGAGGGCTGACACTAGTTATATCCGCTTTTCTACTGTAGAAAAGGGGTGATAAAGTACCAAAAATGGGTAACTTTCAGGCAGTAACAGTCTAATGTTGCACTCCCTTTCTTTTAAAAAGGAAAAATACTCAGTCTGACTCCTTATAAACTTTCAGAAAACCCACATTTTGCTCACATTTACATAAGGAATTTTGTCATTTACTAAATAAATACTGAAAAGCAGAAAGATCTTAACCTGCAAATCAAGATGCTGCAGAAAAAAAATTAACACCTGTCTTGCTTACAACTCATTCGAAGACAGTACATTCTTGCAAAAAAACCATAGTAAAGTTTACAGCTAAAAACAAAGATCCAATTTAACTGTTTAATAAGTCCATAATCACATTATGACTATTATGTTTCAAAACTATTTTAAGTGCTTGGTAGCCATTTATTTCTAGTAACTAAAGAACCAAACAAGTCAGCTGTCTGAAAGTGATTTGCATGTATTAAACAGTATTGCATTAATTCAGGAGTCCATTCCAGTTTTTTTCAAATCCTTCCTGAAATTATTTGCTCCCAAAATATCTACCAAAATAGATGTAGCTCTGCAAATTGAGACAATTCTGAATTTTAAGAGGAATATAAAAAATAATCAAGCTATGTTAGAATGGTTCCAACAAAGTATGATTTAGTAATAAAAAAAATCCAAATAGTTGGAGCACAAATTAAAGTAATTTTCTTACCATCAAATAAAAAAAAAAGGTGAATGTATACACTCCTTCAGAGTAAAGAATTGTTGGGTATTTCTCTTTTAGAGTCACATGTATTTGAGACTGCGATCCTATTATCAATTTATTTACTTCTGAAAGCCTATCCTTCAAGTTTACCTATCAGCAGTACTTCTTCTAGAATACAGCAGGTCTCAGAAGTGGAGAAAATGCAGACAGAAGAACACTGAGCAGAGTCTGACAGTGTATCTCACATTAAAAATGTATAGCGATCAATTCAGTTGAAATCATTAATTCATTATACACATCTATTGCTAATTCAAATCATGAACATCTAATTTCAGTATTTAATAAAAGCGCCTTTTTTTTTTCTCCTGGTGTGCATTCATTGAAGTGTCTAGTTCCCATGCAGATAAATTGGTGTTTTTCATTTTCTTTTTGATGATCAAAGAACAAACTGTTAACACAATGGGAGGGAACAGAGAAGAGATCACAGTGTCAGCTACCAGTATGACTGTACAGCAAGCACTGCGGTTTACTTGGACTTCTGGAATCAGGGATATGTTCCATATGCAACACAGGTTTCAAAACCTACCATACTTTATGCATTCTAACACCCACTTCAGGAAAGAAAAAAGAAACCAACCAAGAAAAACCCAACCAACCCAAACCACAACACCCACTCAGCTCATACAACAGAACACTACAGCTCCCTGCTGGGCCAGTCATTTTGTACAGCACTTCCAAGAATGATACTGTTTCCAAAACATCCTGTTAAAGAGCAAAATAAAGCAAAACCAAAGGGAGGGAAGACACTGAGACAAGAGCTTTCCTTTAGAACTCCCTTACTTAGCTCACAGAAAAAAAGATGGGCAACAAAAAAGGCACAAAAAGGACTGTATGAAAAACATGGCGTGAATGTACAATATTTTACTCAAATGTAACACACATGAAGAACCACTCTTTACAATGAATGACAAGAAATGCACTAGTTTTCCTTTTCATGTTCCCATTAAAGTGAGGGTTAACAAAAAACCCCAAACCAATAGCACTTGACAATTTTTATATGTCCATATGTTTTTATAACATTTTCATATGCTCCTTAAAACAAACAAACAAAATACCCTGAAACAAAAACCCAACAATAAAACCACCTCAGGATGCACATGGTAAAGTAAGTTTTAGACCTAAAGCTTAATTCCCTTCAATGATTACAAAGTAGGAGTTTGGTGATCTCATTATAAAGAATGGTTTCTTCTTTCTTTGAACAAAGAGTTAATAACATCTGGGATTAATCAACAACAATAACTGACTGAAAACTACACAAACACAAACCTCAGTAATCATTTTGGGGTCAGGATGACTTGACTCAGTATCTTGCAGAAAACCAGAAAGATTATTGTTTGGGGGATGGGAAGAAGGAAATCTCACTACATTATTAATTTGCATTCATTAGATGAGGTGAACATATGGCAAATCTTCACATTTTGTTAAGATAAATGCATTTAACTAGAATTTGTTATCCAAGTTTTCAGACATTTTGAAGTACCCAAATGTTCTCAGGATCTTAACTATCTTACCCAATCAAGAAAAGCCACTATGAACTAAGATCTGCCTTAAATCAAATCTACTAAACAAAATTCCACAAGTAATAAAACTACCTACCTGAATTTCATTATCACCTGTGATCACACATTCACATTATTCTTGTCACTGATCATTTATCCTAAAGCAGGAAAATCCTATGACCAATTACTTCCAAATTTACAGTTTACTGAAGTCAGCAATCAACCCGGGCTTAAAATCCCGTATCTCTTCATATCAAATGCACATGGTAAACATGGAGAAACCACATCTCCTAAGAACCCAATATGCACTACCTGACCAGAATACTTTTCTTTATAAACAGTGTATTGTCTTTAACTATAAACCATTTATAGGAACAGATATTTTAAAACTAATTTAACCAAGTACTTTGTTACACAGTGTGCTAAAAGCACCAAGTTAACATGCAAAAATACTGAAGGACAAAAATTTTAGGCCTTTAGTACTGACTTTCACATCCTTAGCAAGAAGTTCAACTTCAGACATGACAATACTATGAGCTACGTCCTGACAAAGTTACCCAGCTATTCTGCTGTTCCTGATACATTTCTGGAGAACTTCAAGTAACTCCCAATTTAACTAGTCTCAAATTAACTCATATCCAGCTTAAGATCCCATAAAGACCCTAACTGTCTGTATTTGAGATGGACACAAACCAAGAAAATGTGCAAGTCATGAAGAAAAAATGTCTTCCTTCTTTTCTGTTCTTCCCCTCCCAATGGAAAAAACCTGAGTACTGCTTTTCTCCCACTTTCATCTCCCTGAACACTAACACCTACCAACTACCTACCTTTTAATGACTGTTGAGTATGACAGATAGCTAGGCCACCAACCAGTAATACACACAACAAAAGACTTGGCCATGTGAAACCACTAGCACTTTGAAACTCAGATTTCAATTAAAGAATAATTTACCTTTAAACTTTCATTCTATCATTTGTAATAGTTCTGCAAAATTTATAGTATTATTCTTGAGTAGCAAATAACTGCTACCTGCAAAATAGTTAACATTTACATAATCCTTGCTATTCCAGTGTATTTATGCAGGTTTTGTAGTTCTTATCTAACACTGGAAAAAGTTAGATGTTGAAAATATGGTAATCAAATGTAGATCTAACCACTTGGTTACAAAACTTTAACGACATTTATAAAGAGTTTTTTTATGTTTTAGCTGAAAGTATGAGGCAAGCTTTTGGGAAAGGGCAGCATAAAGTGAGAACTATTCTGGCCTAAGGAAGTAAGCCAAAATGAGATAATTTGATTACCAAGACATACGGGTATGACCTTTCATCTCTCTTGTCCCACCCAATCTACCCTGTAATTGAGAAATGATATAGGTCTATGGATTAATTCAGTTAGAAAGGGGAAGGAAAACAAACAAAACACACACACACACACACACGCCAAAAAAAAAAAAAAAAAAAAAAAAACCCTCCCTCCTGTTGACAAAAAAAAAAAAAAAGGACAGTATTTTAAGATATTTTATACAGCTTAGAATTAGTTAATTTTGCCTAAAGGAAGTTTTTAATTGTTTCTCAGCAAAGCAGAGCTGATGCTTACCTCTAAGGTCTGGAGCATGTGACGCCAACAGCTCTGCTCATTTGCATACAGTCAAGCTAAACTGCTGCAATGAAGAGCACTTCATCAGCCATTTTGAAACTGCACTGTCTC